GAACACAAATATGACATTGAACACAACAGATGCACCACTGCCCTATCTACGTATGCTTCGACCCCTGGCATAAGTGCTAACTTGCAGAACGCGCAAATCATTAAAATGTCACACAGAAGAGAACACGTACGAACGCTAGAAGCTTTGGAAATTTATAAAGCAGGATTACGTAATAGCTGTATCAACTATAAAGATGCTATTAATATTTCGGCAGCTTGGAGGTTTGCGTATGAAGCAGAATGCCCCCACAACTCTATGTAAGGTGTTATACATCGTTTACATGTATATGTAAAATAATATTTGTGAATATTTGGGTTCACGTACGTAATGATTAATACGCATGCGCGTAATGAATTTTATTCGCAAAGATGTATATGTTCCAAAATGTTTAAATATTTAAGCACAACGATTTTCGAATATCAGAATTTAAAACCTGAGGAAGACTGAGGAAGGCAGTCGAAAACGTTTGTTGTTTTCATTAAATATATTTTTACTGGTCAAGTAAAGGTTTTTATGTGTGTTTATATTAATTTATAATGTTATTAATATTATTTCCATAACTAACAATCTTATACAAAACTATATCCATGAAATAAAAAATTATCTATATAATATACAATATTCACAAGTAATCAGAAATTCATTAATTACTGTTTTGATCTCTAATATATCGGAATATATTGAGTGTGGGTGTATATTATTGAAATTAAGGTCTGTACAATTCTAATTAGAACAAAATGATGATTTTAATAACAACTAAGGATCAGAGTCAACTAACAGTATGGTTGATGGGGTATAGATGTACTACAGTTTAAAGATGACACAATATAGTCCTAATGACAAACATTCATTTTCTAAACTTATTACTATACTACTAGACTAATTCACGTTAAATTTACATACAATTATTTACAAGATTACAAACACATGCCGCCACAGCTCTCCTTTGTTCTTCTATTAGATGAATGTCCAAATCTCACCCATCATCAGACAAAAGTTTGTGACTATCCACGAATTCACTTTCTATATGTAGACATATCTAATATATATATGACTATCATATGTTTACAATATCATTCCGTTAACTATAAACTGTTCATACATGCACACCATGAAACTGTTGATGATAAGTCCTTAAGGATAAAAACAGATTACAGTATTTCCACTCAATGCATTCAATCCTTAGCTGCCTCTTCTATCTCCTGCTACCAGACAAACTATACCAAACCACAAAGCAAACAACCAAAAAAGAGAGCTCAACACACAAGATGGTCAAATTTATACTCCCCTGTCATACATGAATGCTCTCTTAACACGTCCTTGACCAATCAGTCCACTCCAGTTGGTGTAGCAAGAAAGGTGATATAGCATAATATTCCACAGGCATTTATACAAAAAGTAGATCCTAACATGTGGTAATGGAAAATAATTTATATACACAAATTATATATAAGCATACATAAAACAATAATAATAAAGTAGTGCAGCACTACATTACCATATGTAACTTAATTAACAAATCATGAATCAAATCTGTTGAAAAATTGTACAATGATTGACTAATTATGTAATGGCTGAGATAGTCCATAAAAAAATAATAAAATAATAATGGCTCAGACACTCAGGAACTATCAACCAGGATCCAAGTACCACAAATGGAACTCTTGGTGATTTCGACACTGGTCATTGTGAAGCAACCTTCCATCAGTGCCAAAAATCAAGCGAGTGGCCAAACTATGAATTGTTACTTGTCTGTTGCCAATATGAGGTTTTCAGTCTCACACAAGGATAAAAAGTTCATGCTGTGCAAGGAAGAGAATTTTCTTCAAGGACTGCCAAATTCCTGAACCAGTCTCATGCTGTGATTCTACAAGAGGATCCAATGCCAGACAAGGAAAATAGTGACTCTTCCAGGATTAACTATGGCTCTTTCGAGGTGCTTGGACCCTCCCTCCAATATTGCTTTCCCAGGCTATTTTTCAAGGCTAAGATGCACAAAACAGTCTGGCCCTTGAGGCCGCTGGTCAACAAGAAGTCTCATCCCACCTATTACCTAGAAAAAGCTCTTGCCAGGCTGCTTGGTGAGTTTTCCCTTTCCCTTGTGTCACACCATCCATTATGGCTAAGGCATCAATAACTGCAACCCTTGGTGCTTTGCCCCCAAGTATTCACAACCTATAAAAAAGGACATTGTTGCATTATATCCTTCTGTGCGTCACTTCAATGCAGTCATGCACACTAAGTTGTTACTTATCAAGGAAGGTTTAACTGCACAACAAGTTCTGAAGATCCATGAGGTTTTGCTCTTTTTCACAGAGAATAATTACTTCCATTTTAATGGGAGGATATACCTCCAAAAACAGGATGTCCCAATGGGTTTGCCATTGTCTCCTGTCTTAGCAGAATTAATTACAAGGCATGTTGAATACAGGTTCTTTGACTTCCTGCTCTTCATATCTTACCCAGTATTATAGCTGAGGTATGTGGATGACATCCTGTTAGCATGGCAGGACATGGAGGATGAATTTCTAGCATTAGAATACTGTCTCCTTAGTGTCTACTCTGCCATCAATTTCACCTGAGAAAAAGAAATCTGGGGAAAAATCTCATTTCTAGATCTAGACATCTCCAGACAAAGACGATCAAGAAATTGAATAGACCAGCTAAGCAACACCTTAAAGCTATTGAAGAAGCACGTCATATGGTCATCCTCAGTGACTTTAATGCCAAAGTCAGTTGAGGAAGACCACAAAACATAGTCAGAGAACATGGCTTAGGGACACAGAATGATCAAGGCAACAGGCTCGTCCAGTTCTGTCAAGAAGAAAAATTTAGCATTGCCAACACTTGGTTTAAACTACCATCTTGAAGACTGTACACCTGGACCTCGCCACAAGATGCTGACAATAATATCGTCAGGAACCAAATTGATTACATCTTAAATCAACATCAGATATAAGTCAAGTGCCCTCAGGACAAAAACTTACCCTGGAGCTGACATATCAGATCATAACCCAGTGATAGTTAAACTGTGCCTCAAACTACAATCAGCAAAACACACAAGAGCAACAAAAAGAATCGATCTGGTGAAGCTGAAGAACAATGCCTTCAGGTGACAATTACAGCTGCATATCAACAATTCAATCAAATTGATTGAAGCAACAACAGAAGTATACGTGTTCGGACATTCACTTAAACAGTGCATCAATGAAACAGCAGAAACCACGTTGGGACATCAAGCAATGAAAAA